TGCGCCACCAGGGAAGCCCTCCTTACCATCTTTAACAAATGTCAGGAATAATTTTTTAACATTGTGTTTGTTCACCCAATAAGCTATTATAGCCATGAAAATGAATGAGCTACAGTTGCATGCGTCAGTATGGATGAATCTTGTTGAGTCCAAAGAGCAAGTCCTAGAAAACTACATACGGTATAACATCTTTTAATAAAGTTTAAAAAACAAGTAAAACTAAATAAAATAATGTTTAAGCATATATATATTGTGTATATATGTGTGTGTGTGTATATATACACACATGCAAAAACACACACACAGTTGACCCTTGGGTTTGAACCACATGAGTCTACTTACACACGGATGGCTTTCAAGAAATATGTCCCATGGTTCTACACAATCTGTGGTTGGTTGAATCCCTGGATGTAGCACCTCAGATACAGAGGGTCAGAGGGCCAACTATAAAGTTATATAAGGATTTTAAACTGCGTGGGGATTGGCACCCCCATTTCCTGGGGTTGTTCAAGGGTCAACTGTATAGATATTTGAAAAAAATAATCTAAGGAAATGATAAATCTTAACGATCAGGAGAGTGGTTTTACGTGACGGGGAGGCAAAATGATGGGCTAGAAAAGGAGCACATGGGAGACGTAGGTGCCTTGGGTTGGATGGTGGACTCATAGGTGCTTACTATATTATGAATAAATACATAACTATGTAAGGGCCATGCATAGGTTAATGATGACAGTGTGTCATGAACCAAGGAATATGATTAATCCAATTCTCAGCATTGATGTCAGAAGGAAGGGAGGGAGGGAGGGGGTAATGGAGATAGATTGTCTTCCTCCCAACCTTTGTCTTTCCTTCCTTCTGCCATGACTTCAGTCATTTATTCCATGACCTTTTATTGGCTGTCTACTGCGTACCTGGCCCTAGGTTGGGTGCCAGGAGCACTGAGGTGAAGCAGACACAGTCGTGCCCTTAAGAGAGCCGCTGTCTGCTGCCGGAGTCTGACAGTTCCCGAAGGGTTTGCGATGTGCTGTGACAGAGGTAAGACAACAAGCTGCTGTTGGGCTCCCTAACCCACCTGTGGCTGCTGGGGAGGGCTGTAGGGCTTAGAGAAATCAGTGAGTTGGAAATGGAGGTGGGAGTGCAAAAGCTGTAAAGAAGAAAAAGACAGCTCAGCCCTGGAAGTGCTCACATCTTGTGGGAGGGGAGGATGGCAAGAAAAGAGGCAGCAGCAACAGTGGAATTGGGGCCCTGAGAGAGGGCACAGGCCAGAGGGCACACACAGGAGGGGGTACACCGAGACTAGGCTTTCAGGAAGGCTTCCTGGAGGAGAGGGCATGCATACAGGCAGAGAATTGGAGTTACCTGGGCAAAGTCTGTGCCAGGGAGAAAGGTCAGTGTGTGTGAAGGCCGGTGTCAGGGAGGAAGCTTGGTTCCCTGGAGTTGCTCAGAGGTGGCCTGGCCCAGAGCAAGGGTGCAGGAAAGTGAGATTAGCACGCAGGAGCCAGATTCAGCTAAGGAGTGGGAAAACCACCCTGTGGGCCATCCTCTGAAGGGGGCGGCAGGGCTGACTTTCACTTTGAGAAGCCAGCTCTAGCTGTGGAGCAGAAGTAAGGAGGCGCTGCAGCAGTTGGGGATAGAGATGGTGGTGAGTGAGCTGTAGAGAGGACCAGAGAGGAGGGCCCCTTATGGGCAACCCCACACTGCAGGCTGGGCTCAAACGGGGTTTCCTCTGAGGGAGGGCAGAAGATGTGCTGACAGCACACACCACCCTTCTCCTCCCTGGCATGCATCTCCTCGGAGCAAGCCTCAAGCGCCAGAATTTCTCAGTACTGACGGTTTTTCCTCGCCTTCTATTAAACTACAGTTGATACTTTTGGAAGACTGAGAAGGAGACCAAGGTTGCTGAAACCTGGTAAGTAGATTCTAAGCCGCTTGGGGGAAGAGGCAAGCAAATGGTGGGGTTCACAGCTTTGCATTACAAACAGAGGTTCTGGACCCCTGACTGCAGCAGCCCCCCAGTGGACCTTCTGCTCTAGGCATGACTTTGCCTTAGCCCGAGAAATCCCAAGAATGCTGCAGGTCTTCACCTCCTGCTCAGAAGTAGAAGAAAAAGACTTACTGAGCAGCTACTATGTATGTAACGTGCTACAACACATAACCATACACAGGAAATCCTTCTGTCCCCATTTACAATGAGAAAGCTAAGACCCAAAGAGTCTGAATTGAAATTAAACCCAAAGGCTTCCTGGCCATACCCATGAAATATTGTGTTTTCTTTGGAGTGAGACTGGCTAGTTCTTTGAGGGTTTATTTTTTGAATCAACCTTGGACAGTTAAGAACGTCTTGCATGAGTTATCTATTGCTGCACAAGAAATTACCCCCCAAATAAGCAGCTTAATACAATAAACATTTATTCTTTTACAGTTTCTGTGGTCAGGAATCTGGACACAGTGTAGCTGAATGTCTCTGATTCAACGTTTGTCATGAACTTGCAGTCAAGGTGTCAGACAAGGGCTGCAGTCTCATATGAAGGCTCAGCTGGGACTGGGGGGTGAGATCTGCTCCTAAGTTCGCTCACTTAGAAGTTGAAGTGAGTTGTTGGCAGGCCTCTGGCCCCACCACATGGGCCTCTCCACAAGGCTGCTTCCACATATAGCAGCTGGCTTCTCCCAGAGAGCTAATTCAAAAGAAAGTTAGAGAGAGAGAGAGAATCCTCAAAGTAGAAGCCACAGTCTTTTTATAACCTAATCTTGGATGGGTCATCCATCACTTCCACATTACTATTATTATTTTTTTAACATCTTTATTGGAGTATAATTGCTTTACAATGGTGTGTTAGTTTCTGCTTTATAACAAAGTGAATCAGTTCATCACTTCCACATTATTCTCTTGGTGAGAAGCAAGTCCATGAGGCCAGCCCACACCTAAGCAGAGGGGTTACACAAGGGTGTGAAACCAAGAGGCAGAGACTGCTGGAGACATCTTAGAGGCTGCTTACCTCAATGTGAAGAGTTTTAATAGCCAGGTTATTCTGGTTTCTACCAAAATGACAAATTGCTTCACCTGGTATCCAGGGGCTGGAGTATTTTAGGGCCTGCAGGGACACTTGGGGGACTCTTGTGGCCACTCCTTTGGGCCTAAGGCATATTTGGAAGGGTCAGTATGGTGAACCTATCTGGAGCCCCCAAGGGAGAGGGAAGTTAGTTTCTCAAATTGTGGCTATTTCTCCTTCCCCATCTTGTCCTTGAAACTGTTGTCATGTTTCCAGCAAAGAGGGCAAGTGATGGCATCCTCTTCCTCCACCCTGTCAGCCAGATTAGGTTCAGGTGGAGAAGCCACTGAAAGTCTTCTTTCAATTCCCCTTTGCTTCTATATCTTTTTTCCCCAGATTTTCTTTTCTTGCCCCCCACCTGTGTCCATAGCCCCCTCAGTAACTTGCAGAGTAGGTGCTCCAAGAGTTTCCTAATGGGGGGGATAGAAAGGCCTGCTGTGGAGACCCCCAAAATACAGTAAGTGTGAATGTACATCAGAACTGTCACTCGGGTCAGTTCAAATCACATTTACTCAATGTCTGTTCTGTGCTGGGTACAGGGAATCCAGAGATGTATAAAATGTATTCTTGCCCTTTGAGGGGGTTCACAGCCTTAGGAGGGAGACAGACATACAAACAGGCAACGACAGAACAACAGGATAAGTGCAACAAATACTTGATCAATACACCCTTTGGCCATCCCACCACGGCTACCCTGGTTTATGAGGCATCATCTTTTGCTTGGACTATTTCAGTAGCTTCCAAGCTGATTTATTCCATCCACCCACTCTGCTACTGAGAGATCTTTATAGAATGCAAATCTGACAAAATATTACCCTGCTTAAAGGCCTCAACTAACCTTGGGGGAACGGTCAGACTCTTTGGATGGCCCCCAAGACCCTAGCCACTGTCCATCCCTCCAGCTACATCTTACCTTATTGTTTACATTCCAGTCATACCATAGGCTCTGTGCTGTGATAGGAACCTAGCCAGGTGACCATCCCATCCCTCTGCCTCCAGGAGCTAATTCCAGACTGCCCTTCCCAGTCTGGGAAAGGAGCCCCAGAGCCGCCATCAAAACATTTCTCGCACTAGGTTGGATTGTCTTTGCTTGCCTGTGTCCCAGATGAATGGGCGCTCTGCATCGAGGCTCTTTGATACCTGGCACAGAGAGGGCTGGGGTCAGACCAAATGACTGTGGAATGAACTGAGGTCAACTCTGGGAGCAGAGACGAAGGCACCCGGACCAGTAACTTTCAATATCCCCAAGGAAGCACTGATGCTACAAGCACTCGCTCGGCCTCCGCTCTGGCCACGCCCTCTTCCTTATCTCTCTGCGCCTGCTGGCAAAGAGGCTGCCCACCTTCAGCGCTGGTAGCAGGCAGAGTAGAGAGACCCACCTACTTGCGCTTTGGGTGGGCGGGGAAGGCTCCGTGAAGCAGGTGCGGTATGAAATTGGACTTTAGAAGATGAGTTGAAAAAATTAAGTGTAGACACGTGTCTGAGGAAGAGGTTGTTAAACCATGCCCTTTCCCCGGCTGCTATTTCCCACATGCATTAGGTAAAGACAGCAAAGCTGCCGAGTGACTGTGTGTGTCCCTTCCAGCTCAGGGGTACCCACCCCGGCGCTCCCGGAGCTCTTGAATGAATAGGGAGGGGCGCTCATGAATGAGTGCGTGAGTGAGGGAGTGCGCGGGCTAGCGGGCTGGTGAATGGCGACCGCGCCGACTCGGCACGGGGACGCGGGCGCGGGCTCCACTTCCCTCTCCCGCCAGCTGGTGGCCTCGGGAAGGTGGCGGCGCCGGCAGCGGCCCGAGCTGGGACGGGCCGGGGCGCGGGATGGTGGGGGAAGGGGCGTTCCCGGCGGCCGCGCCTTCCGCGGCTATTGGATTAGTGGCCTTCAGGGATGAGCTCAGCCGGATCGGCTTTCAGCTGCAGCCTCCGGGCCGGCCGGGAAGGCGGGGAGCGGGCGGCGGCGGAGGAAGAGGGGGAGGCGGCGGCGGCGGCTGCAGCATCCAGAGCTGGCCGCGGCGGCCGACGCGCCCCGCGCACAAAGGCGCCCAGCCTCTGGGGAGGGCGATGAGTGCACCGTAGCCCGGGCCCGGGCCCCAGCTCCAACCACCAGTGCGTGCGCCCAGGGCGCGGGGGAAGTCGCTGGGCGCGCCAGGGGCCGGAGGCCGAGGCGCGGCCCGTGCGCCCCGAGCTCGGGACTCGCCGCCCTCCGGGTCTGGCGCGGAGCTTAGGAACCGCTGGAGCGCGGGCCTTGGCGCGCCCCCGGGATCCGCGCAGAAAGGCGCTTCCCCACTCCTACCCGGCCTCCTGCGCCCTCCCGCCGCGCCGGAGCGCCAACTTCCCAAGAACGCTCCAACTCCAGGCCACCCTGCTGGGCAGAGGGGGCGCTGCTCCTGGGCACGGGCCGTGAGGACGCGCCCCTGGCCCCGGGGAGCCAGCCGGCATCTTCGGGGTCGCTCGGGCGCCCCTGAGTGGGCGGCAGCGGCGGCAGCCGCCTCTCCCGGCAGTCCAGGACCTGCCAGCGCTGGCGATTCCTCCAGGGCAGGCGCTTGCCCTCTCTTTTATGGTGAGTATTCTCCATCTTCTGCTGAGGGGCACGCGGGAGCCGAAATCTGGCCGCGCGGACCTCGTGCGGGCCGGCACTCGCCACAGCCGACGCTCCTGGCGTGGGTCCCGTCCAGGTCCTCGGGAATTCCTCTCTGCGGGCGGTGGCAGTCCGACCTGGTTGGTTTGCGCGCAGCCATGGGGCGTTGAGGGCCGGCCCCTGGTGCCATAGGTTCGAAGCCCGCTGCTTTTCTGCGTAATGGAGACACCACAAAAAACTACCCCCTTCCCCCCAGTCACCCTGCCTGGGTTGGGTCCATGATCTGTCATTCACTGGCTGGGTGACCTTGGGCAAGGCGCCAAACCTCGATTTCCTCATCCATAGGATGGGGATGATAATGGTGCCCTTTTAATAGGGCTATTGGTAGGATCTATGGGGTGGTCCTCGTAATGTACGTGGACCTGTGCCTGGCACATAGGAGATACTCGATCAAATGTTAGCCAGCATTATTATTAGCTGTGTGAGCCCAAGCGTGTTATCCAACTTTCCAGAGCTGCAACAGCTCTCTCGTGTATGTATTGGGGACAGTAATTTCCAGGGGTCTGTTCATCTGGGTTGTTGGTGGGGCGTGTTCAGAGCGGTGGAAATCAAGCGCCCGGCACGCAGTGGGCGCTCGTGAACTGGTGGCTGTTATCGTTTACTCTTGACGCTGGATAGTGAGGCTTGTCGCCCAGTCCAGGCGCTGCTTGGGGCCAGTTCCTGGCCTTGCTTGGAGACAAACTTGGCGATGCTTAGGAAGGGAGGGGGTCGCGTGCTTCGTGAGTCACGGGCAGGGGGTGGAGGTGGGGTCTGGGAAGGAGGGAGGAGGCCATAGCTTGGAGCGCGGTGAATGTGTCCGCCCGGGTAGCGCAAGACGCGCCACGGGCTCGGAGCCAGGAGGGGACGCGAGCCCAGGACCTCTCCCTGGCGGGAGAAGCGAGGGGGAGTGGCTGCTCCTGCCTCCCGGATGGCGGATGGCGGAGCGTGGGCTGTTGCGGACTGGAAAGGAGAGGAGGGCACTTCTGGGCCGCCAGCGCTAGGAGGTGGGGAGCTCTGGGCTCTGGAGTAAGGCTTGAGTTCGAATTCCGCCTCCACACCAGCGGTGTGACCTTGGGCAAGTACTCTCATCTCTCCCAGCTCAGTTTCCTCGTCTGCCCCATCCTCCTCCTGGGGGAGTTTGGGGAGTGAAGGTAGGAGTTCTCTCCTCTCTAGGAATCTGAGCCTCCCTCCTCCATGCACCTTCTGTCCCCCTGCAATCGATGAGCATAAATCAGGACGGCGTGCCTGAGCCTCAGAGAAACGCTATTAAAAGGAGAATCCAGGAACTGCCCGTCCCCCCTTCCAGGAGGTCATCGCACCGAGGGAAGAAGCATCAGCGCACTACGTCTCTCCCCTCTCCTGTCTCTCCCTCTGTTTTCCCACCTTGGTGGCTCTATCCTCCAACAAACTCCTGAAGCCTCTGTCACTGAGGCTGATGGGGGAATCCCTCATCTCCCACACCTTCATTTTTCAAAAAGTGCTACTGATTAATGGAGTTTGTAGAAAGACTGTGTCAGTAGCATGATATGAACATGCTTGACACAAGGGCAGAATCCTCTTGAGATACGTACCCTCTGATTGATTCCATTTTTTAAACTTCCTTTAAAAGTACTAATAAAAGGAATTTAAGCCACTTTTGACAAACAGCAAACAAAATTCAACTTGCTGGCCATTCCACTCAAATATCTCTCCAGTCTGTATTTCTATTTTATTTCAGAGACTGATAAACTGAATTATATAAAAAGAAAATCTACAGGGACATCACCAGAAACAGGTAAAAGACACATGACAAAAGACATATGACAAACTGGGGAGAGAATCGTCACTCCTGTCACAAAGGGCTCATCTCTTTAATGTGTAAAAATGTTCTCAAGTCAAGAAGAAAAAGGGCAAAAACAGACAAAGACCATTAACAGTTCACACGCACAAAATAAAATTGAAATAGCAAACATAAGACAAGCTGCCCTACCTCACTCAGTAAGAAAAATGTAAGTTAAAACTACAATAAGATACAATTGTTCACATATCAGATTAGCAAATAATAATAATTTATTAGAAACATCTTTTAAAAGTATAAAATAGATCAAATCTCTCCCAGTCTTAGAACGTCCTCGAGGTTGCCAGGGTGTAAAATGTAGGTGCCCCCAGGGCCCTCCGGGTCTGGTTACTGCTCCCTTCACCCCTTTCTCACTGTTTGCCTCTCTCATTACCCTCCACCCCCCGGCCTTTTTGGTTTTGCTCCAACACTCCAAGGACTTTTTCCCTTGGCTTTTTTAAGACTGGCTCCTTCTCCTCGTTTAGACAGGCCTGTCCTTGGGAGGCTTCGCTTCTACCCCAGAAAGTGGCCAAGACCTGGGCCAGTGCAGCGTTCCCCATCCCTCTGGGAAAAGACCTAGTGCCATTCACCATATGGGGGCTAACTGATTCTCCCCGAGTTGCCTGACCTGTTGTAACATTGCCAGGTTCTTGAAAGGCCCCTCCTCTATTGGTACAGGAATGAAGGGTCTCAGGCAGCCCGGCAGGTAGAACAGGCCACTCGGTGCAGAAAATCAGGGGGTGTGAAGGTACCTGGAGCAAAGCTACCAGAAGTCTCTGCCTGAGTCAGTTAAAAAAAATAAGTACATAAATACATGCACTTAACGTATGTGAACATAACCAAACATACTTGGCAAGAAAGATCAACAACAAAAAAATTAAATAAAACAGCAACACATTTTATTTTGTTATTATTATTATTTTTTGGCCATGCCGCGCGGCATGTGGGATCTTAGTTCCCCGACCAGGGAACGAACCCATGCCCCCTGCAGTGGAAGTGCAGAGTCTTAACCACTGGACCATCAGGGAAGTCCCCATTTTAAATAAAATATTTTAAATAAAACGTGGTCCCTAAATAAGTCTCACTGGCTGTATCGGTTCTAAAGCTGGAGGAAAAACAGTTGTCTGTGCTGAACCCCTTGGGAAAGAGGATGGTAGGTTCCCAAATTGGGTATCATGAACCTTCTTCAGAAGAACTTTCCAGGGCGGTGTTGATTGCATGTGATTTTTTGCTACACATATTGAGTTAACCCCCATTTAAAATGCTATGAAAGAAAAATGAAAGAAAAGTTACGAAAGAAAAATGTTTGTTGTTAAAAATGCAGACTATACAAGAGGTGTGGAGTAGAAGTTTCTTCTTCAGTCTGCGAAGTGCTTTCTAATGCAGACCGAGGTAGCAGATGCCCGTATGGTGCTGGTAGGAGATAGAGGCTGGCTGGGTGCCGGCCTCGCACCCAGAAGAAATGCAGCACGGGGTGCAGAAGACAGCTGTGGATGCAGGACGAGGCCGAAGGGAGAGGGAGGGGCACCACAGAGGGTGCCCGGTCCCGCTTGCGGGTGGGAGGAGAATGAATGACTGTCAGCTAGGCAAGGGAAGGTGGGAAGGCCCCCAGAGGCCAAGGTATGGGCAGGATGTGGTCTCTCAGGAGTCTGCTATGACTGGTCTGATGGGGGCCGTGCTGGGACACTAGGCGTGGGAGAAGTAAGCAAGAACAGATCTTAAGGACTCTTACATGCCAAGCTAAGGGGTGCGGCTTCTCCCTGGAGAAGCCACCTGGAGAGTTGAACAAAAGGTGTGTGTGTGCCTTGGTCAGATTTACCCTGTGGCAGCATGGAGGGTGGCTTGGGAGCCACAGACTGGAGTCCGGGAGCCCCACTGGGAGACCATTTAGTAATCCAGGCAAGATCTGAATTGAGGGAGAGCTGAAGGCATTGAGGGAGACCGGGAGACAGGGGGATCCACGGCAGAAATGGGGACGAGAGAAGAACCTGGTTTGCCGGAGAGGGAAGAGGCTGCTTTCAGTCCTGGGCATGTAGATTCTGAGGTGCCAGTGGCCCCCGAAACCCCAGGTCTGATATCTAGAGTGGGTGGGCGTGTCCTAGGGGAAAGAGACCAGCTGGCTTTACAAGGTCGTTTGAAGGAGCCCCTAGTCTGGTGTGGCCAGAGGCCTTGGGGTAGGTGGGTCTGGTGCTGAGGAGAGAAAGCGGGGCTGGAGACTCAGTTTGGGAGGATCCACAGAGGGCTGGAACTGCCAGTCGTAAGAGAAGATGCATGCGGAGAGGGCGCAGCAGACGCTGAAGATGCGGCAGTGGGTGTGCCCCATTTACGAGGCCAGCCAGGTGGACCTCAGGGCCGAGAGGTGGCAGGAGACTGCCCCGAGCTCTACACCTCCATGTGCTGGTGTGTGCAGAGGGAGAGGCCCAGAGCAGTTCCCAAGTACCCCACCTGGCTTCCAGTGCTGTGAAAAGTCACTTATGAGTGAGCCTGGAGCTCTGACTTCTCCAGAAACTCGTGGGGCTGAGTCCACAGAGACCTCTCACCTGTCAGCCACATTCTGTGAGATGCACATGTCACACAGATTCCCGGGGCCAGAGTGGCTCTCTGCTCCCTGGGGCTCCCTCCCTCTCTTCTCTCTCTCAGGGTCTCCCTGTCTCCCCACTTCCTCTCCATCCCCTCTTCGTCTCCAACAATGCCCCCCCACCCCCGTATCTCAAAAGTGCTCCCAGAGACAGCTGAAGCTTAACAGAGGGACCTTCAGAAATCCCAGCAGCTTCCTACTATGATCTCCTAGACCAAGCCTGAGTTTCCCTTTTCATTCAGGCATCCCGAGTTTTCAGACAACCAGTTATGCTAAGTGGGCAATGTTCGGCTCATGAGATAAATGATGGGCCAGACATGAAGATCATTGTGTTTTCGTCATAGAAGTTGATCCAAGAGCGTCCCGTTATGCAGCACCCACCCTGTCCCCTTTCTCCTAGCTCTGCTCCAGCCTGAGCCATGCTGGGTCTCACAGAGGCCAGCTGTCCTGCAGAACTTTACCCACGTGTGCTTAGGGCACAGGGGCAGCTGGAGCGATGACCAGACCCGCCAGGAATGCACGTGGAAATAGGGCATCTGGCCTTCCTGC